TGAAGAAGAGGAGGTGGATATTCCTTCCTTGCGAGCGGCTCAAGGGGCCGTAGGGGAGTTCCTCTGGGTGGCAATCAAAACTCGACCTGATTTGGCGTTCTGCACGAGCCAGTTGTCTTTGTGGACATCCCGAAGGCCACGATTTGTGGTTAAAAAGGCTGAGGAAGTTTTCCGATACCTTGCTGCAACTCCAACGTTAGGCTTGACGTTCGGAGCAATCGCAACATGCGAAAAAGAAAGGAATGAGGTGTTGCGTTATGGACGAGGGGTTAAGGTGGTGGAGTCCTACGCGGATGCCAGCTTTGCAGCAGGTGAAAATGAAAAGAGCCACTCAGGAGCGGTGGTGGTGTGGGGTGACTGTCCAGTGATGTGGGCAACACAGAGACAATCAACGGTGGCTTTAAGTACAGCTGAAGCTGAATTACATGCGTCCATAGAGGGAGCAACGATGATTCAGTCGTGCACCCCTATAATTGCCGCTTTGGTTGGAACAGGTGAAGAATCGCTGCAAAAAGTGCTGTATACAGATTCGGTTTCAACGTGCTCGATCATTCAATATCCTGCTGGAAGCTGGAGGACAAGACACTTGAGAATTCGAGCAGCCGGTGTCAGGTCTCTGGTGGACCGTGGTTATATGGTGATAGCGCATCTTCGCGGTGAGTATATGATCGCTGACCTGTTGACTAAGTTGATGAGTGGACAGGTGTACGCAAAGCAAAAGGCACTTTGGGGTCTCCGACTGTTGGTACAAGGGACTGACTTGAAAAAGCCTCGCTTGCAATGGCGGTCATGATGGTGGCTGCATCTCTGCAAGGGATGGCAACCGGTGGAGAAGAAGTGTCAACTGCTGGTTTCTTTTGCTCAGAAGAAGGGGTGTGCAAGGTCGCCAACACGTCCACGGTGATGGTTCTGGCTCAAGGTATTGAAATGGTTGTCAACAATTCAGACCTTGTTGCACATTTGGTGGCAGCAATTATACTCTGGGAACTGGCATGGTGCCTCTTTCGACGGCTGTATAAATGGCTGTGGATCAAGAAAGCGGTGGTTATTCCTGCGAGTGCCACTTTGTATACAACAGTGGGTGGGAACTGTATGCACGCAAGCAGTGACTGCGATGTTCTGCGATATTCACAGCCCAGGGCTAAGACGCTTTGTAAGCATTGCCTCAAGGATGGCTGGGTGGTGAATGCTGAGTTCCTTGGTGAGGAACGAGCCGCTGGAACGTGAATTTTCCAAGTGCGAGGTGAAGAAATCCTCAATGGTTAAGGATTCAGCCAATGAGCTGAAGGTTCGTCCTGGATGACGTTAAACCATAATGTGCATTTCAAGCAGCTGGCTGCTGCCTAAATGGCGGTTTTTGGCCAAAGATTTGCACCTCCAATGTGTCCTAGGAAATCCTAGGACAGGGGGAGTGCGGAGCTGCAATTGGTATTGTAGAAAGGAGTTGGTATTGGAAGTTAAAGGGTCAATGAACCCGATAATCGTTGGCTCAAGCCATGACCAAAGCGGTCGAAGTTTTCGTAAAAAGTGTGCCCTTGGTTTGGGGTCTTGCTGTTCGGTTGTTGGTTGTTCCAGGGGTATTAAGGGCTTCTGTTGGGGTTGACTGTTTTGTTCCCTGTCCTCCTTCGGTTGCCCCCCGTATAGGGCTTAGGGTTTAGGGCTTAGGGTTTAGGGCTTAGGGTTTAGGGTTTCGGGAACGTTTGGGGTTTGGGATTTGAAGACTTGGGTTCGCGCGCCCGACAGGGTACCTTTCCCCAGGGCTAAGGGCCATTGATCCCAGGATGTTCCTGCTCCTCTCTTGCTGTAATCCTCACACGGCACGATGTCGTTCATGAACTGCACACGCACTCTGCAAGAACCTTCTGCCCTGCGGACCAGACCCTAAAAGTATATCGTCCTAAACCTTAAGCCCCGAACCCCAAACACAGGCCTCGTTCTAGCACATGCATGGGGCTTTTTGTCCCTTGTGGGTTGGGTCTCCATGAAATCGTATCTTCTTTATAGTCCAACATTTAAGGGTCACACAAGTTATCCTAAATGCTGATGGGTTAGGGCTTAGGGCTTAGGGCTTAGGGTTTAGGGTTTATGGTTTAGCGCTTAGGGTTTAGGGCTTGGGGTTTAGGGTGGAGGGTTGAGGGATTGATTAGGGCAACAGCCTCATGACTCCCTCCACCGAGACGCTCTCCACCTCCGAGCCCTCCTGCTCCTGCTCCTGCGGCACAGCCCGCGGGCAAGCGAAGGAGGATCAAGAAGATGAGCACCTGGGTCAGGAGGGTTTGCGGTACGCCTGGGGCCACACAAAAGCCAAAACCCAGTAACCCGGTACCCCTAACCCTAAACCCTAAACCCTAAACCCTAAACCCTAAACCCTAAACCCTAAACCCTAAACCCTAAACCCTAAACCCTAAACCCTAAACCCTAAACCCTAAACCCTAAACCCTAAACCCTAAACCCTAAACCCTAAACCTGCCTAAGGTTCAGTAACTGACTGATCCTTGTCATGTTTTCAAAGTGTGCGGCAGCGAGGGATGCACACCCAAGCCCAACAGGGTCAAAGCTAACTTCATTCCCCCTGATGTCAACCTCCCCGCCCCCAGTGACTAACCATCTCCACGATAGGTGTTTTCTACTTAATGAGCATTCCCATGTTACAGCCCACCTCCGAAAATTAGACCCTAAACCCTAAACCCTAAACCCTAAACCGGTTCCATCCTTGGCTCCCCAGTCCCACCCTAATGCCTGAACCCGACTCCTAAGACCCAAAACGCCCCAAGAGAGCGCCGCAATCAACAAGCACTAAGCACCAAAGCTTAAACCCCAAAAGACCCTAAACCCTAAAAGGTTTAGGGTTTAGGGTTTAGGGTTTAGGGTTTAGGGTTTAGGGTTTAGGGTTTCCCAGCAGCACAGGCAATCCGAACCCGACGTGAGTGAGCGTCGACAGGTTTGGCGTTTAGAGCTTAACGTAAGTTTGGGTTTTTAAACAATTGAGGTTCACGTTTTAGTTTCAAGTGTGTTTCGGGAAGGGTTCATCTGAATCGGCCCGCGTCCGGACTTCTTGCCTGTTTGGCGGCGTGCCTCCTTGGCAAACAAAAAGAGAGTCCGCTGGCACACGCTGCAGGGTGGAGTCTAGCAATCTAGGCTACAGGCCTAGGGCTCCAAGTATACAAATCAGACCTACATTGGGGTCTAAAGTCTGTAATTAAGCACTATATACGAGCCTCTGGCTCAAGTTTAAGGTTTGGGGTTTGGTGGATTGGGTTTGCGGTTCCGGTCTGGGTGTGGGGGTGTGGGGGGGGGGGGTGGGGGTGGGGGGGGGGGGGGGGGGGGTGGGGGGGGGGGGGGGGGGGGGGGGGGGGGGGGGGGGTTTTGGGGGGGGAGGTGGGGGGGGGGGTGTGGGGGGGTGGGGGGTGGTTGGGGTAGGTGGGGGGGAGGTGGGGGGGGAGGTGGGTGGGGGGTGGGGGGGTGCATGGGGGTGGGGGGGGGGGGTGGGGGGGGTGGGTGGGGGGGGGTTGGGGGTGTGTGTGTGTTGGGGGGGTGGGGGGGGGTGGGGGGGGAGGTGGGGGGCGGGTGCGGGGAGGGTGGCAGGGGGGTGGGGGGTGGGGGGGTTCGCAATGGGGGCCTAAACCCTAAACCCAAAACCCGCCACCCATAGTCCAGAAATTTGGGGTTCGGGCGGGGCGGAGGTTTCAGGGCTCAAGTTGAGATGTTTGGGGTGGCGAGGAGCTGCCGACATGGCTCCCAAAGGTGCCGGGGGTTTAGGGTTTAGGGTTCAGGGTTAGGGTTTAGGGTTTAGGGTTTAGGGTTTAGGAGTTAGGAGTTAGGAGTTAGGCTTTGGGGTCTAGGTTTAGGGTTTAGGGTTGAGTGTTTTAGGTTTTAGGTTTAGAGGTCTAGTTTCATCGAGCCAGGACACCTAATCCTGAGCCAAGGAGCCCATATCCGCAGAGCGACAGCTTGGTTCTATGTGTAGGTTCCCAGTGGATCGTATATCAGTGGTTCCCCAGACGGTTGCATGATTTGTAGGGTTTGTGGGGCTTATAGGGTTAATAGGCGTTATAGGGTTCTAAAGGGTTGTTAGGGTTTATAGGGTTTATAGGGTTTATAGGGTTTATAGGGTTTATAGGGTTGATAGGGTTTGGGGTTTGCTTATAGGTCACAGTTTTCCCTACTACCCCCCTCTTTTTGAGTCTCCCCCCTAGGTTCCCCCCTTAAATATCCTCAACTAGGCTGCCTTATCCCTACAGGGTTCCCCCCCTTAAATATCCTCAACTAG